TCAATTTATGTAACTTGTTCTTGAGTGGTATTGTGAGTGGTATTGAGAGTAGGCACATTGCAAATGTAATCTTTCAAATAACTTGGAGGTTTCAGTGTTCTTGGGGTCTATTGTGAGTTAGGATTGTGGTCTATTCAGATTGTATTGAGCTTGGTGAATTATCTGAAAGGGATTGTTGTTGATCCCGTGGGTGAAAACTAGGCTCAGGTGATGTGTTGGTGGTTCCATTTGAAGTGGGAGAGCTTTGGTACCCTGGTGAACCAGATTCATGAGTGATAGGATTAGTTTCATTGCCAAATGAAAGTTCAGGTGACATTAGCTGTTGATGTGGACTCTCACTGTTACTAGTGACAGTAGGATTAGCAACATCAAAATGACTCATACTAGGTCCTATGTGAGGAGAAGGAAAACACAAATGTTCATATTTAGATGCTAAATCAGTGTGGTTTCCATGCAATGCAAATGGAAAGATTGTTTCATGAAAAGTAGCATCTCTGGATACATGAATCTTCCTTGTGGCTAGACTAAGAACCTTGTATCCCTTTGATCCAAAAGGGTATCCTATGAAAATATGTGGAGTTGATCTTGGTTCAAATTTATCTTTGTGAGGTTTTAGGTTTGTAGGAAAGCATAAACATCCAAAACTCCTAAGGTGTGAATAGTTTGGTTTCTTCTTGTATAGAACCTCAAAAGGACATTTCCCTTTGAGGGATGAGGATGGCAATCTATTGATCAGGTAGGTAGAAGTTAGGATGCACTTCCCCAGTATCTTATAGGCAGTTTGGACTGGTACAACAATGCCCTTGCAGTTTCAAGGAGGTACTTATATTTTCTTTCGACTATACCATTCTGTTGAGGGCTATAAGGACAAGTTTTCTGGTGTAAGATCCCTTTGGCTTGGAAGAACATGGTTGTTTTAGTGTTCACAAAATCCAGACCATTGTCAGTTCTGATAGCCTTTATTAAGGTATTGAAATGGTTTTGGACCATTGCACAGAAAGCTTTTATGACATGTAGGGCATTGCTTTTACTAGTCAAGAGATGTGTCCAAGTACATCTGCTATAGTCATCAACTAGGGTGATGACATAGCTGTGATTGTCATGAGTTGGTGCATGATAAGGGCCCCACATATCCACATGGAGGAGTTCAAATACTTTGGTGGTGGAAGTGGTTCTTTCTGGGAATGAAGATCTATTCTGCCTGGCCATAGGACAGATAGAACACATAAAAGGTTGTTTGCTTGCAAAGGCTATAGGTATGGAATTGATACCCTTCATCTTGATAAAAGGTACATGGCCTAGCCTGTTATGCCACAAGAGATCCATGTCACCAGGTCTACATTTGCTGCACACTGAATCTATTTTGTCAGAAGAAGTTCTATTGGAACTTAAAGGAACTTGTACACTTTTATTATCACAAACATGAGGAGGAATAGATGCACTAGGTTCAGAATTACAAAGATGGTGCTGACAGTGTACATTATTGATACTATGACTACCTGAGGTAGATGCGGTGCAGATCTGTGTGTGAGTGGTATGATAGAAGAACTGTTCTTTCTTGAATTTGAATAGTGAAGGTAGAGGCTGTCTCTGACTTTACCAATCTCCAGAGGCCTCCTCAGTGAAAGGCCCTATAGAAGGATACATGAAAACTTAGTGAATATGATGATGCAATCAAGTTGAACTGTCAATGAGTGAACAGAGATCATATTGAACTTGAAACTAGGTACATATAAGACTCTTTTTTGGGTAAATTGAGGACTGAGAATGACATCTCCAACTATTGTCAGTTTTACTTAATATCCATTTGGCAAAGAAACTAGGAAAGGACAAACCAGAGTTTTGATGTTACTCAAAGATTCTTTGTTATAAGTCATATGGTTAGTGGCTCCTGAGTAAAGGATCCAAGAATTAGCATTCTCTTTAAAACTTTCATAAGACTGTGCACTAGATCAAGAGAAGTGTTACAGGCAGTCATACCTGCAAAGTTAACAGCACCACCAGTCATGTTGATGTTTCCTGAGTTGTCTCTATTATTTCCACTCTTTAAGCTTTCCAATATGCTCAGCAGTTGTCCATATTGTTCCTTGGTTAGTTGCTGCATGGTTCTACCTTGCTCCTGAGAATTTCCCCCTTCATCTGTCAAGGTTGCTCCATTGTCAGCTGTGTCAAATACATTTGCTGCCATTTTTCTTCCCCTATTACCATTTTTGTACTTCATGTTTTGTGGATAACCTTGGATTTTGTAACACTTGTCCTTGGTGTGCCCTGGTCTCTTGCAGAAATCACAGAATGGCCTAAGTCTATTTCCTATATAACCTCTTCCATAGCTGTTGTTCCCACCAGAGGAAGTACTCATGTGTTGATTATAATTGGTTCTAAAAATGTTATTTCCTGGGCCTTTGGCATTCAGTGATGTAGACTCAATTACCAACTATTAATTGTGTGGCCTAACTTCTCTTTGCTTCTCTTCTTGTATAAGGATAGAGAAGGCTTGTGCAATGCTTGGAAGAGGATTCGTCATCAGTATAGTCCCTCTTACGACAGTATACACCTCATTTAACCCCATAAAAAACTGTATCAGTCTTCTGTCTTGCTCAGCTTTCTGTATACTAGCCTTAGCACCACAGATGCACTGGCAACTGCACTGTGCATGTGCATTTAATGCGTTTAATTCTTCCCATAGTTTCTTCATCTTAGTGTAATAGCCTGTTATATCCAGAGTTCCTTGACTTAGATCATTGATTTCTTTCTGGAGTTAATAGAGTTTTGCATAATTTGTTTGATCATACCTATCTTCTAATTCCTTCCACAACTCCTTTGCATCATTTACATATTGTAAACCATCCGCTAGGTCTTTTGAAAGAGAATTCAGAATCCACGAAGTCACCATATCATCACATCGTTCCACTTATCAAAAGTTGCATGTCCAATTACTGGTTCTGACAATTCCCTGTTATGAAGCCAACCTTATTCTTCACTGAGAGGGCTCTAAGTACACCTCTCTTCCATGATCTATATCCTGTGCCATCAAACACTTTCACGGATGCATGTATAGGGGACTTGAAGTATCTAAAGTGTCTTTGTTTACAGTATCTCCAGCCATTACTTAAACTACAAATCTCGATTGATCTAAACCGTGCATCAAAGATAGGAAACAAGAATTCAACAGAGAAACCTTCGAGAACACTTAAAGTTGCTACGATTTGTTGCAATCAAACGAGATCACAGAAAAAATACAATTTCAAACAGGGTTTCACAAGAGACAAAAGTGATTGACAATTTCGAGAAAGACCTAAAACTTTAATTGTGAATTGAAGAGAAAAACGAGACAGGAGATCGCAAGTTACCTCAGTAGATAAAACTTGGCTCTGATACCATGACAAAAATTGAGCATTATCAAAGAGAGTGATTGAGCTAAAGCTCATCCGCCATGGCTGTTTGCCATGAAACTCAGGGAGAGAAAGGAGAAGGAGGTTCGAGATCTTTTGGAATGAAAGTAAACATTCTCATTGAATTGAATTAGGAAATGGTAATGCACCTATACATATATACAAACTACTCACTGACACTAACTAACAATGTAACTAACTACTTACAAAACTAGCCACTTACAAAACTAGCACTAACAGCCTAACTAACTAATTGCAGAAAATGTGGCTACTAGTTAAATAATTACATTCAAGTTCTAATCTTAATAGAATCTGATAGTACTGCGTCAATATTAGAAGAAAAGGCAAAATGACGCTACATACCATCCCAAGATATCAAACATGGCTTTCTAGTATAAAAACTTTAAGTTTAATATTTACAATTATGTGACATTTAAAGCAAGACGTAAACTTATATATCTTTTAGCAATAGTTCTGGTAAGGAGAGCTTCCCCTTTAATGGGTCTTACGCGGTGTCAATCTGAATAAGTTGGTGTCCTAATGCTCGTACCGGACACCATGTGGAACTCATAAAAAAAGGGGGGAGGACAATATATTGGGCAAGCAAGAAATCAACAATTTTAGCACATGATAATTGGTTCTTTTGCAACATATAAAAACTTTAGTTGATGGAAGACTACTTTATTAAGAAAACAAGAAATCTTATTTAGAGAAGGCCTCTAAAACTCACATTAACAAAGCAGGCATGGAAGTGAAGGCGAAGCAAAGAAGCTGCCATTCTCATTTCATATTTGATCGCACTGTGGTTTGTGGACTTCTTAAGTAACAACTTTGAGTAGAGCTGGACATGTTTTTGCATAGAAATCAGTTGTTAATTAAGACTTCACTACTACAAATAGGATCCGTAGAAAATCACAAGATTGAGAAGGAATTATATTCAGTAATCGTGTGTTTTCACATGTCTTACAAAGCCACAAGTGACTGGATTTATACAAATCACAAAACAATCAAAAAACTAGGCTAAGTATGCTAAGTGATAGCTTCTACAAATGACTTAGAGCTCTACTACATGTATGACTATTACATTGAGTTAAGTACAAACTATACAATGCAATCTAACCATCCTTATCTCGTGTAAGCTTATCCTTATCGTGATCAGCTTCTTCAACACTTCTCCTCAATCTAGTGAGGAGTGGAATTACCACTTCTAGCTTGCTTCGAAAACCTGCAAATTAACATTTGCTTATTCAATGCCTTAGTATGAATGTCAACTAGCTGATTTTTTGATCTAACAAACCCTTGTGACAAGCTGACCACCAGCAGCCTTTTCTCTAACAAAATGATAGTTCATCTCAACATGTTTTGTTGTGGCATGCATTACCGAATTCACTGTCATATATAGTGCACTCAAGTTATCACAAAACAATGCTGGTGTAGTTTTTAAACGAACTCCAATGTCATTGAGAATGTAGGTTATCCATGTCATTTCAACTGCTGTCGGGGCCAATGCTCTATACTCAGCTTTTATACTAGACCTTGCCACTGTGTGTTGCTTCTTGGATGTCCAAGATATGCAATTAACTCCTGGGTTAGCCTGTAGTTGATCTCCTAGTCATAGGACCCTTCCCAGTCTACACCAGAGAAACCATATAACCTGAATGGTGACTGAGACAAGATTCTTAAACCATACTCAGTTGTGCCCTTCACATATCTAAGGATCCTTTTTATAGCTTGGTAAAGAGTGTTGTTTGGACTTTGCATGAATTGACTTGCCAAATTCACTGCATGATCAATGTATGGCCTTGTGAGAGTTAAATACTGCAGACTGCAAACTATACTCATGTATAGTGAAGCATCCACTTGATCATCCACAGTCTCTTGTAGACCATGCTTATGTGCTAGAGGTGTACTTATTGGTTTAGCAAGTGCCATGCTATTCTTGGCAAGTAATTCTACAACATACTTACTTTGATTCAGATGAATTCCTCCAGTAAAGTAGGTGACCTCGGTACCTAAGAAGAAGTGCAGAGGACCAAGATCCTTCATAGCAAACTCCTTCCCTAGTTCACCAATGATTTCTGAAATTAGTGCAGTGTGACTCCCGGTGCCAATTATATCATCAACATACAGAAGAAGCAGGATTCTGCCTCTTTTATAGTGCATCACAAAGAGTGAGGAGTATGACTTACTGCATTTAAACCCAAGGTGAAGCAAATGTAGACTGACCCTATCAAACTAGGCTCTAGGTGCCTGCTTAAGGCCATACAGTGCTTTCTTTAGAATGCACACACTGTCAGGATGTCTAGGATCTTTAAAACCTGGTTGATGACTCATGTACACTTCCTTCTATAGATGTCCATGCATAAATGCATTCTTTAAATCTAGTTTCCTGATACACCAATGGAGACTCATAGCTACTGAGAGAATTACTCTTATAGTTGTTGCTTTAACAACTCGACTGAAGGTTTCTTCAAAGCCTACTCCTTCAAGCTATAAATACCCTTTGGCAAATAGTTTTTCCTCGTACCTATCAATGGATCCATCAGCCTTTAACTTGGTTTTAAACACCCACCTAGGGCCAACTATGTTCATACCAGGTGCCTTGGGCACTAGTGTTCAGGTTTTATTTTGGTGAAGTGCATTTATCTCCTCTTGCATAGCTTCAAGCCATTATGGTGAGCTAAGTGCCTCATTCATGGTCCGTGGCTCCTTAGCTGCTACCAGACATATGTGTCTCACTAGCATGTTTTTTGATTTTTATCTTGTCACCATGTGATGCTTTTGTGCATTTGATGTATGCTCTGCTGTTTCTGCATCATAAATGGGCTCTGCTTATGTTGGTATCACTTCTGTATCCTAATTAGATCATAAACTGAAAACACATTAGAGTCAGAAGGTGCATTGTCCTGAGTTGAGCTGTTTGATTCTTCACTTGATCCAGTGGATTAAGGTTCAGTAGGGGCATCAGTAGTGATCCAAGGAAGGCTAGGAGTTGCTGCAGTCATGTGATCATCTGTTCCTGTAGGAAGTGCTGCTAAAGGAGATTCAGCAGGCTCAGCATTGTGGACAGTTGTTGATGTAAGCTCAGCATTCTCATCAGGAGCATCAGCATGAGCATCAATTGGAGCATCAGGTATGGACTGATCACTTGGTGGTGGTACATTCACATCAGTTGTGGGCTAATAACTTTGATCACTTAATGGTGATCCATTTAACACTTCCCCTGAATTAGAAGAGTCCACATCTGAGCTTGAGGTATCCTGCAACCTGGAGAAAAACTCATAAAAGGTATCAATGTAAGTAGAGTCATTGAATTGTCTAGTGGTGCATCTAATTGCACATAAGGCAATGTGTTCTCATCAAAGACCACATGTCTGGAGACAAACACTCTCCTAGTAGGTGGGTGGTAGCACCTATAGCCTTTATGAAGGCTACTGTATCCAATAACACACAAGGATAGGTCTTTGGGGAGAATTTTGTTTCCTTTCAAGTAAGGAAAACACCTTGTCGCGCCCCATTTTTTTGCGAAATCGGGTTTCGACACGTGACAACTCTTCCAAAGGAAGGGTTAAAAGAGAAGAGTCGCCACCTAATGGTTTAAGGTGTGTTAGGGCACCTATTTGCATATGACTCGGGTTTGACTAGCTTACATCACCAAAGATCGGGTAAGGGCTCGAAATTACCTCGAGGAGAAGGTGTTAGGAAATCTTCGAGGTCCAGAACCGTGGGTCCTGGCCGAACATGAACTATATGAATTAGTCAGATAAATAAGGAAAGAGAGAAACAAGAAGTTTGGGAAGTTTTATTATCAAAAGACTTGAATAGATACAAACACTTGATAAATAGGAATAAGATGGGGGGGGGGGGGGGTTTCCTAAGCTTTTTAGCCTAAAGGATCACCCCGTGCGACATAAATAATACTTTGTAACTCCCTCTAAACGGGGTGTTACTCATATTATTCAGTGGGCACAAACTATCATCTCCTGCTACCCGATTACTATCTTCAAGTTGTTACCTAAAGCGCACTAGTTCAATTATAAGTCGTACCTTATGCGTGCACTACCCGTCTCGTGCCTATGGTCCACGAGGCATTGGACCTCTACTTTTGGTGGTTCTAGACTTAACTTATCCTGCTCAAAATGTCAAAACTAGGCGACATACAAAAAATACGTTGAACTTCACGTACGGATGCAGTCAAAGGCTCAAATTAACCTCCACAATTAAACAGCAAATGCACGCGCAAACAGATTTTCAGGCTAGGCAATTCAATGATTAAGGAATTTAATTTCCTATAGACATGATTTATACGTGGTAGGCATCCAAATATGCAAGCAGTTTCAGAGGTCAAGCGTTGCTTATAGACAGGATTATACGATTGTCGCATACTGATTATTAAAAATTGCAGAATTCCAGTTGTTAATCCAGTAGATGTTGTGTCTAAGTGCTTTAAGCACTAAGTGACAATGAAATATACTAGAGAAGAGCCCAGAATTATGCATGCTTTCAATAGTGGCCTAAGTGAACAATAAACAGAATTGAGAGGTGCATCATTAACAGTTGTTAAGACGAATAATGGTATCCTATAGGGGACCGATTTTATGGTTATACTTTAACCCTATAGGCATGTTTTCTAGGTGAATTGTGTGATACCATAACAAATGAGATGATTGAAATCCGATAGGCATGATCTCTAGCATATATGCAGCAGTAATGCAAATTGATTTTTACTTCCTATGGGCATGTTTTCTAATAATCATATAGCAACAAAGATAATCAAAGCAATTGAGCTCATGCTTTGCTAGTAGACGAGTAGAGTGAGTGTCTGCTTCTCCAAATGTCATGATTTCTATAGTGTACATGGAGAGTGAACGACACATATAGCAAACACATTATTAGGTCCTATAGGCGCGTTATCTATCCATCGCGTGTAAATATTAAAATATAGCCCACTCCCTTTACTAACAACCCCAAGTGTTTATACAAAGGTTATTACAGGCCCCATAATGAGTAAAGTAACAATGTTACATAACACTGAACAGGCCCACAGTACGCCCAAATAATGATAAAAAGGAATACCTAGCATTGCCTGGGCCTTCAACATCTCTCACAGCGTACCTAGGCCTTCAACAGAGAGCCCCATTCAATACACGACCCAAGGGTCCACAGAAGAGCCCAAACCGATTTACTTAACCACAGTACCAAGTTTTGCACCACTTGAACAACAAAATTTGGACACAGAGTCCATAAAAGGGGAAAGGGAACAATAGGAACAGTATTGGAAGTTGAAGGAATGACTAAGGACCAATACCTAGTGTGTTAGAGTTCACAACGGCCTCAATTGGACCCAAGCAGTGCTCACACTAGGGAGGTCAACAACATAACCTAGATAGCCTTGGCTTTCAGCCGGCTAAGCATGAGAATTCAGAATAGCATGAGCACCAAGTGTGGAGAGTGGAAAGTGGTGGAAGGACAGGAAATAAGTGATACACCAAGTTAAGCATACAGAGCAACTAGTCAAGCAGACCAGCAGGATTTCCACACATAGCAAAGTACCACATAGACAACTTCATATTGAAAGAATAGGAGAAGAAACAGGTTTGCAGGTATACATGGATTATCATGTATAGATACATGATGCTAAGCTAGTTGAGACCTAAAGGTTCAAATTAAGTCAAATATACATCCTAGTGCCATGTTAATCAGTATTTAGGCATGATGGGAACACACATTGTGACAATCACTGAAGGGGTAGGGTATCAAATGAACTAAAGGCATACTGGGGAAACATTTTGGCATAGAAACAAGATCATGGTCTTAATACAAGTTGAAACATATTGTACATGCAGGACAAATATTGTAGAGGTTCAGACAGCAAGCTCATACCAAATAGCACATATAGATATTCTGGGATTGACACAATAAACTAATTAACTAAGACAGTCTAAGTTATGCTATAAAGACAAAATGGTTCAAAACAGGGCATGGAAAACAAGTTGAAGTAACTGTTAAAATCTCAACCAATCACCAATGAGTATGAGGGCTCATGTTGAGTGACACAATAGTAGGGGAACATGTTTTAGAGCAAAATTTTAAATAGCATTCTGATAGTTTGGACTAGTACACAAAGAGCAGTCAAGCAGACACAAGACTTAGCACCAAAGGATTCATTCAAAGTGAGAGTGATTTCCATAGAGTTGTGATAGTGTCCAAACAAAATATGCAGAAGTTTAACAACATATGGCCACAATAGTCAGATTCATATCAAAATGGACTGGCATTAAAGCTCAAAACTGAACATATTCAGATGCTAGAGATACAGAAATCACAAGCAATCAACATAGGCGTGCAAACCGTAGTGAATAATACATATTATCCTAACACAAGCTAAGGACAAAGCAGTAAGCTATCTCATGCGTTCAATTATCACAGAATGACAAAGGAGTATTAAGCATTATCATAGTTAAATCATGCTCATGTAATTCAAACACATATAGGTATGCAGAAAGAAAGAAAGAAATTTAACATTGCAAAGGTTAAAAAGCACTAACCAGTAGCAAAATCAAAGAGAAATAAAAATCGTAATAGCAAGAACCCCAAGTCTCCGATGTTTCAGAGTTCACAAGAGCCTCGAGAATGGGCTCCGAGCAGTGCTTGCACCGGAGAAGGTCGTTTAATGGCCTTGGCTTTCAGCCGACCCAGAATTCAACGTTTAGAGAGTATTCGAGTGTAACAGTGAGTGAGTGAGTAAAATGGGGGAATAGTGAGAACAATAGCAGTGATTAGGAGGTTCGAAAGTCTGTTTAAGGGGATTAAGGGGAGGGGTTTATATAGTAGTTAAAGATTAACACATAAAATAAGGAAATACAGTAAATTAAACACAAAATAAGGAAACTATAGCATGCAAAATCAATTAGAATCAGTTTTTAGGGCAAATCCAGGAAACCCTAATTTAGACGAGAAAGAAAAATGGTAAAAATCTCACTAAATCGAAACCGTGGGGGTCTGATAGTTAGTGTATCGGGTCAAAAACATGTAGATGATACAGAATCAGAATCAAAAGAACACCAACAACTCAACTTCCATAAATAATCAAGTACCCAGTACTTGTAGCGTTCGAGAGATGGTAAGTAACTCTGCGTATACAAGAAAGAAAAGGAATCATG